GTAAGAGCTAATTTATTTCTATTATTTTTTAAAAGTTCTTTTACTTTTATTTTCTCTAATTCAAACTAGTTTTTAATCTTTTTATTAATGCAAGATTTTGTAGTCATCAAGATTTGTTATAAGTAGTTGTCAATATGTAAGGCGATCTGCATGGTAATGGTATTGATTTTTAATCTTTTTAATAATATTGCCATTTTAATCTTTTTTAATAACATTAAACATCTTAATCTTTTTAATACAAGATTCAGTAATCAAGATTCGATGTAAGTAGCTGTAAATAATTTAATACGTATTTATTTATTTACATTATTATGTAGATTAATCTTTACTGTTATAGAGGCTATGTACAAATATATCAAATAATAATCGATGATATTCTATGTAATTTGTTAAAATGGTTTAATCGTTAATAAAATGGCCAAAACGTTATAATAATAAAGAATATTGTTATAATTATGTAGTAATCAAAAATTCATGGGTCGGATTGGCAAAATTGTATAGCATTGTTAGAAGTTAAAAGGTGAAAACAAGAAATAAATTTTAATAAAATGGATAACTAAATGAATACAATCAAAATTCCTTAAACGTATCTTTTTCAGAACGCTATAAGGATGCACATTTAGAACTTCGTCTACTTGCATTTGCAGTATGTATACTTAGAGCTTTAACTAGTAATAAACTCTTTAGTTCCATTACTAGCTTTGTTTGTAGTAATAATATTTCTTAAAATTGATATGCTTTCCACATATAGCCTTGTATTGCAAAACAATGATGTTAACAAATAATAAATTTAATTGATCATATTACAAACTTAAGTAATCAATTGTAATTAATAAAATTTATTAATTTTTATTAAATATATATATTTGTAAAAAAAAAAATCAAATATAAATTGCACGTCTCGCTTCTCTACTTTCGATATTAATTGAACCTATCAGTAAAAAATTTTGTTCAATTATCCTAATTTTTTTTTTTCGCTTTTCAATAATCTAATCTGTCAACAGTATGTCTACTATAACAATTGACACTTTTTCCAAAAACTTTCCTGAGAGTAATAGTAGTCTGAATCAAATTACTCAAAAAACAAAAAATAAAAAAAACAAAAAAACTGCATCCTGTTTATAAGTATCTTGATAAGCTTGAAGATGGCACTCGCGTTTGTAAAGTTTGTGATAAAAGTGCTAAAGTTGAATGGGGTCCATTCACGTCGATATCGACAATAACACGACATTTTGAACGAAAACACCCAAGTATTTTTAAAGAATTTCGAAAGCCTACAAAAATTGTTCGCCTTTCTCTATATTCAATTGCCGATAGAGATCGTATAGACTTCTTGGATCGTAGTCTATTGGAGTTTATTATAATTAGTCAACAACCTTTTTCTCTTTTAGAAGAGAATCG